TTTTCTGCGTAATTTTGTTTGATAATAAAGCCCCATTTTCTTTAAATAAGTCTTTCAGCTTAGAGATACCATTTGGTTTTTGGGAAGCTTAAAATGTGTATTATAATCTGTGCCTTCTCTGTGATTATAACCACGGATCTGCCAATTGTCAACTTTGCTACCATTTACATTGCCGGAGCACGCATGGGGAGAATGCGAATGCGATGATTCCGTATATTCTCTTTTACTTAAAGAACGCTACTACTTCACTGAGTTGAGTGCAAGACCCGGTCAACCAAACCCAGGAGGCGACGAATTATCAATCACCTTATTTTGAGTTGGGGCGCCACTGCAGAGGTCATTAAGTTTTTGGGGAGCATGAAACTTGTATAATCAGATATACTTTCGGACGGAATTCCAAACACAGACCATCTAGTTGGCAGCTAGACGAACTACCAGTTACATTATGAAATCATGCATGGACGGAGCATATCATAATTTTTTATAATTTTCTTCACATAAGTTTTTTTTTTTAAATTTTCTTTACAAAATCCTGCAATATGTTCCATTTGAATTTACACATTGTTTACCATTATTATTTTTTCTTTAATTTTGATTTGGATTAGTTTCTGTTTTATTAGTTTACTTTTAGTATATCTGCTATATCTACAGAGATGCGTCGCTGGCTCACGGGTAACAGAAACTCGTTATTTAAAGTGACGGATGAAACATTTTCCACTATAAATTATTTTGCTTTCTCAATTCCTTTTCTATCTCTAAATAAAATTATAAGACCAAGTGTATGGATTAGAAGTACTGTGCAGAAAGGATAACAAATGAGAACAGACCGTGGAGATTGATCTGTATGATAGATTAACAGTTCTAGTGAAATAATCTGCAGTGCCTCAAATGTCATTCCACGTTTGACAGAATACATGCCAATAAACAGTTTTCGAGATTACCAGGTTCCTCTTCTCTGTTACCAATAAGACAGGATAAGTTTTGAGTTAATTTTCAGTCCACATATTCCTCCCAGACGTGACAGTAACAAACATGCTAGTTTTAAACAGAAGTCTGTCTGGGCAGTCTAATGGTTAAAGAAGGATGCTCTGAATCCCATTTTGTGGGCTCGAAAACCGCTAAGACTGGTTATTTATGTATGTCCTAAATTCTTCGCTTTTCGCCTTTTATATCCATCGCACTTTATGAGGGATTCTGGGCAGCGCTCTCGATTCTTGATGACAAGACGGTTAAATAACCAGTGGGTTCCGACAAATGGGAGAAGTTGCAAGTGTGCGGCCATTTGATTAAAAAGAAAGTTTGAAAAATATTTGATTGGAGGTCCTTTAGTTTGGTCGCTCCTTTACTATCTGAAATCGATCAAAGGCATATCAGTTACTCTCCAGCAAGAAAGTAATGTACAAAGGCCTCCCACAGGGAAGCGTACTTTCGCCAAAATTATTTTGCATTTTTGTCAATGACATGCCTTAGCCTTTCTCTTCAACTGTTTTAAAGTATGCTGATGACATCGTGGTTTTAACTAATCCCTGAACCCTCAAAATGCTGTAGACAAGCTGAAGTACCAAATTAATGAAATAGATGCATGGTGCAAGCTATGGAAGATTAAAGTGAACCCTTCTAAATGTAACATAGTGATTTACAGACGGTATAAAAAATTGTCCAGCTTACTATTGACGTAAAAATTGACAATATCCCAATTCCTGTTGTAAATTCTTACAAATATCTTGGAGTGCATATTGATAGAACTCTCTCTTTTCATGATCCTGTGACTTACGCAACCAATAAAGTTAACGCAGCATTCATGGCCATCTACCCGTTATTAGGACGAAATTCTAAATTGGATTTAAAGATTAAAAGAACACTTTATATCATCTTAATTCGCCCAGTTTTATTGTATGCCGTACCGGCCTGGGCTACAGCAACGAAAACAGACAGACAGACGATGAATGTGTTACAAAACAAAGATACTTCGATCTATTACAAACGCTCCCTGGTTCATAAGAAACTTGCAGCTCTATGAAGAGTTAAAAATTCTACCAATTCAGGAACAGATTCTGATCACAGCACAATTTTTTCACAAGTATGCAAAATTCTCCATACTCTAACATAAGAAATCTTACTAGTTACGATCCCACTCAGGAGAGTGTTGTAAATCTCCCACGTTCAATCCACCACAACCACGGTGGTGATGATGTGCATAATGTAAATATTTCGTATTTTTTTCGTATCTTATTTACTCACTTTTTTTGCCTAGTTTGTGTTTAGTGTTTTGCACCAAGGACTTTGTGATTTTTATAAATCATCTTGACAAAGCGAACTGTGCACCGTTTTTGTGTATAGCCAAGTTTGGTATTATTTTAAAATGTGCTTTTCGTAATTCTTCAACGGACTTTGATTTTGCAAAGCCATTGAACTGTGTAATTTAAATATTTATGAACTTGGAAATTACTTACTCTCTGAAGTTCAGTTAGAATAATCCCAGCTAATTTTTTTTAAAAATTACATGTATTTTAGATATCAGCTTTTTGCGTCTCATCATCATAACCGCTCTGCTTAAATAAAGGATCAATCTGAATATGACTTTATGTCATGGACTTTACGATGTACTTGTTTCTCCTGCTCTATGCACGCTCGCGTAGCTGCTAACTGTGTGTAGGACTTCAGCCGCACCTACTCATGTATTTACGAATGTTTTCAATCAAAGGCACACAAGACAGTGTGCCTTTGATTGAAAACAAAATAATAAAGTAAGAACCCAAGAGCCAAGATATCTACTGGTGATTACTCTTTGTAGTAGAGGCCAGACTTTAAATTTACGATCCAGATCCAGATCCAGCATATCAGTTAGGAGAATCGTCAACAGTTCATATTTCGATGTCTTGCATTTTTTCTTTTTTGTTATAAACTAAAGTTTGAAGCAGCTGGGTGAACAAATTAGACTCTACCATTAAAGATGCTTAAACAAGAGAAAACTACGAAAAAAGAGATGAACAGTAATTTTAAATCCCAACTATGAAGCACTAGAAAGGACCTTGAACGTACATTTTACGACAATGAAATTAAATGATTCTACTGACATGAACACAAAATTGCTTACTGTTGCTCATGAAACCTTTGAGTCGTCGCTTAGTTGGCGTAAACTGATGACGTCTAGTAAACGAGTCAGAGAATTTCTACGTATTAACAGTTACTTTTTCCCAGGATTTGAAATTTCGTTGGCACTGCATTTTTAACACAATGCTAAGCATTTATTAGCTTAAAAATTCAAATAATGTACTTTAGTGTTCAAAATGCTGACCAAATATTTCAAAATAAGGGTAATACTGATAATAAGTAAAAATCTTAATTTTCTTATCACGCTATTCGATTTACCTAAAGGTTAACAGCATAATAAAAGGAAAGCATCAGTTGGTAATAATACTATTTTTTATTTGTCAATGGCAATTTTTTCCCTTTGTTTATTACTAGGATAATTTTTATGTTTATATTCAGTTTTTAACTATTTTGATAATTCAATCAATTTCATCTAATAATTTGGTTAACATTACTAAAGCATCATGTGGCTGATATAAATAAAAAATGGAAAAGAACGAGTATATAATTTTGCTTAATAATTAAATTAATACAATTATTTATTAATAACCTGAACAAACATGAACTTTTGTGCATGACAGATATGTTGTTAAATTGAGATAAATGACTAAAAGTTTAATAGTGTATTAAAAATAAAATTAAAAGTAATATTAAATCACGTAGATATCTTTCATTCGTTATACTTTTTAAGGTAATTATTTCGAGCAAAAAATAAAATAAATAAATATCAAGTAGCTCCTAAAATAGATTCCATTTTATTTGTAAAGTGCATATTAGATGCACAGTATATATAAAAAATATATGAAATAATAAAAATAAAAAAAAAAAAATCTGAAATGTTTCAGATTTTAAATTACGTCCAAAGGGGCGTTTTTTAACGTTTTGAGTGTTACCTTTATTTATTAAATATCATGTTCTTTGCACTTAAACCATAAAATTCAGTTCAAGAGCAATATCGCAAAATAATGTTAAATTAAGCATATCTTTAGAATTTCCGATATACACAGTCTCGCGAGCTGGAGATAAAAGTATTTTTTTTTCTATATAACGTTGCCATTTCTCGCTTTTAAAGCATTGAGTTTGTAAATCAAAAATTCGTTAAAGTTTTACAAAATATAAAATTTTTAATAAAACAAATTCCAAATTTGGGATTTCAGATGCCCATATTTGCAGTAGGATTTCGTCATTCAAAATTCGATGGCTCTATGTACCATTGTTTTATCACAATGCGAGAAATAGACAATCATTTATGCAGATTTTTCATTATTTAATTTCTTCAAATATAATGCAGGACCCTAACATTTTGTGGCAACAGTTTGAAAAGTGAACCGACGTTTATGAGTCCGACGCAAAATCGCAAAACGAAAACAATAGTCCTTCAGGGACAAAGCCCCTTTGGACTAAAAAATGGTAGAAGGCTATATTTATTAAAATGATAGCATCTAAAAATTATGAACATAACGAAGCTTAGATGCCTTCAGCGCATAATACCTTTAATTGCAGATTTGTATTTATAGAGTTTTAATTACAGACTCTATGTATTAATTAGTATTATAAAACTTTATTTTCTTATTTAAATAGCAAAACAAGAAAATTTATCAAATTATAAAACTTATCATGTATGGATATATCAGATTTTAATAATAGGTTAAATGAATAAATTGTCATTGAAATAAAATCCATTATAAGAATTTTTAATCTCTCTATTTTGATTATATTCGAAACTAATAAGGATTAATTCGATTTATAAACTTTTAAAGAGTTATTAAAATAAAATGATTAGAAATTTTAAATGAGTATATTATATAACTATTAAGTATTTTAAAAAATTATAAGCCCCCAAATTTGCTTTATATTACTTATTTTGAGAATAAAAAAGACATGATAGAAAATGAAAGTTTTCTCACCTATCTAAGGAAATGTCAAGACTTGTTTGATCAGAATATAATCCTCTTCGATAAAAGCAGACGTGAGTGATTTCCTCTAACTCAGAACCATCATTAGAGCATCTGCTTCCCTTTATAGTTAGTGACCACGTAACTGCAACCGACCCACTTTTATACCTGCCCGTTTTTCATGTAGGCCACTGTCACTCACAGAGCTACTTTTATTGGGGGATGAAATTCACCATCGAGTTCCGTCCCAAAAGAATAAAAGTAATAAAAAGAAAATTTGAGACATCTAATGGCGATAACGGTCCCCTATTTTAGACCAGTGAGTGAAGTGAATTCACAGCGATGTTTCCATGATGCACGTGGGCGTGAGCTCGTGGAAAGTTTAAGGCGGGAAAGTGAAGAGAACAATGGTTCAGCGCGTGTGCTGAAAATTGTGCTTATCAAGATCAAAATGATTATCGCTTTGTTCTGCACTATGAGGTTTCGTTAAGCATCAGACTATTCATCTCTCTTTCGGGAAAGGGATAGAAATAGTTTAACTTTTTAGGATGCTTCTGTCACGGTCTTGGTGTAATTTAGGAAATTAAATTCTTTTAAACAATCCATTTTTATTTTTCGCTCTTTTTTTTATAAACTATGTTTAGGAAACGACCAACTTATTATCTAAATATTCCTTAACATATTAGACTGCTTTAAACTACACTTAGCTGCCTTTCTACTTCTTATTCAATTTTCATGAAAAATTTTCTATTTGAAATTTAATACACCTCGCTTTATACCTTTTGAAATATTATTTTTTCAAGTGATAGATTTATTTATTGAAAAGGTTTTCTTTTTAGAACATTACTCTGAAATTAATTAATGGATTTCCATTAATTAATTTCAGAATAGAAGAATTTGAGGCAGTATGCAACTCAATGTTTGCTTCCAGTTTCATATTTTGAGGTTTAAATTTATCGACTCAAATTATTCACGTATTTTCTGAAACACATTCAAATTTACAGATTTAAATTAATAATTATTTTAATTAATCTGTAAATAATCTAGAAAGGTTTTCCATTATTTTAATTATAACATGTTTCCAGTCTTCAATTAGTTCTCTTTAGAGATCATACTGTACTTTTTATCAATAAATTTATTTTCAATCAACTGTAATAAACTTCAAGCAGTCATCGTTATTGATAAACTGTACACGTTTTTAACTTAACCAATAACAATTTTTAATTACAATTATAGGCATTCGCACCCATTTTTCAATGGGTAAATTTACTCAAATGGCTCTTTTGTTCGAAGAATTTAAATAAACATATAAGAGAAAATAAGAGATCAATTAATATAAAAAAATCTTCTTTAAAAAATACATATTAAGTAATTTTAGAGCAGGGCATTTTTGGTTATGCATAATGTTATTGCAGAATCATTTTATGAAATTTATTACGAATCATTTTATGAAGCATTTTCGTCGTTTTATTTCATTAATTTAATTACTTTTAATAAAGGATATTTTATTTGGTTATTTCGCATTTTATAGGTTGCTTTTAAAGCATGTATATTTTATTTTGCTTCCTCTAAGTTTTAATTGCTGATGACAATCTAGTAAACGCTGTAATAAAAATTTATATCTACTCAGGGTGGTGGTAGTTTATTACTTGCACAAACTTCAAATGATAATTCGGTGAAAGCTTTATTTTCAATATTTTTCCATAAAACCTCAAAATTAATAGCAAATTTTTTGGCTGAATTATCGTATTTTTATGGTTAGCTTCTCTACATAATAAATTTCTGTCAATTTTTTATAATAACTGACTTTAAGTTATCTAAAATTAAATTTACAGATATTTATTTATAGAAATTTGATTTTAAATTGTTTATTAATATTTATAACTACCAAACTGAGTGTGAAAATCATGAATTCTATTTCAGACACTCAAGGATCATTTCAAATAAAGGTGAACAAAATTGTTGGTAACTGGAATGTTTAAATACTTTTACTTTAAAATATGAAATAGAATGAATTAAATAATATAGCTTAATAGTATGAACATCATAATATATTTATTTATTGTGATTTGTGTAATTTAATAGTGTGAACATAATAATATGTTTATTTGTTGTCATTTCCATATTTCGTAAGATGAAATTAATACTGTTGCGTGCGTACGGGTTCGTTATGAAATGAATGCACAAGTCCGATGAAAAATGAACAAAAATTTATTATTATCACAACAAAAATGCTTAAATTTTCTCAAATTATCATGCAGTATTACAATATCTCACAGTAGTTATCTTTTAACTACTCAAATGTCCAATAGAACGTAATTCAAAACAGCTAAAGAACGCTAATCCGCGAATTCGCTACAATCAACAACAGTAGTTTTCTAAACAACAACAAACTAAGCAACTACTACAAACTGAGATGTTTTCCTCCTTTTATAAGATTTTAAAATCACGCGCTAGAATTTTCCAGTACTTTCTCGAAATCAAAAAGAGATATTTATTTATTTAACGCACGCGCTCTTGTATTTTTAATTTTCCGGCTTAGCTTTCTTTTAATATTCGTCACGCGCTGCACTGCGCGAGAAATAAAACCATTTAATTTATAATTGAACTAACATTAGCTTTTTAAATACCAAATTCGTAACACTGCCCCCTTCCCAAGGACTGCACGTCCCGGGCAGTACAATCCCTGGACAGGAAGCTAAACTTACAACTGTGGCATAAATGCAACTGAGGCATAAACATTACATTACAATATCAAACAACATAAACAATAAATGCAATAACTAACTTAAACAAATCAAATGCTATCAAATACTAAATACAAAACAAATACTAAATACAAATAAAATACTAAATGCAAATCAAATACTAAATACAATCAAATCAAATACACATTTAAAAACAAAAGGACCATGGTCTGATACTATTTACAATTATTTACATTACGTACTATGGCCATAGTAATGAGCTAACCTGTCGTAAGAGTTCGAAGACTCACGGATCCGAACCACGACGTCATTCGTGTTCAGCACTGTATATGGACCATCCGAAGGTGACTGTAATTTAGGACTCAGTCCTTTTCGTTGAATCGGGTTCCACAACCACACTTGTCTCCTTTGTTGGATCTATGTCTAGTAGCTCTTGTGTCGCATCTGGTCTTCATTTTCTCTTTCTCCGTCGCCAAGTTGACTCGCTTTCGTGCAGAACGGTGCATCCCCTCAAACCGGGCCTGGGCATCTTGGATGTGTTCCTCAGGCGATGAAGGCGCATCCGTAGGGCGACTAAACAGGCGGTCACAAGGCAGACGAAGGTCTCGACCGAAGAGCTTCTGGGATGGAGAATAGCTGGTAGTCTTGAGTTTCTTTTCGACCCTGGTATGATTTCGGCAGCTTCCCGAGCTCGATCTTTCGGACAAGGCGTCGACATTTCCAGGCGAGGATCCCTTTTGAGGATGGATAGTCATGCCATCAGATGCTGAAAGCAGCTTATTGTTTTTGAAATCTAAGGAAAAATTGTATTTCCTTAAAAAGTCCAATCCGAGTATGCATGGATCTGTAATATCCGCCACATATGCCGTGTGATGGTAGGCGGCACTTCCAAACGTGATGTTTACGTTTAACTTCCCAGTTATGTCGATCTTGTCACCAGACGCAGTCTGAAGGGTAACACAGGATGGCGTCCAAATAAGTTTATCTTTAAACTGTTCAGCTAAATCTTTCCTAATGATGGTAACATTAGCTCCTGTGTCAATGATCATATTGCAAGGAACTCCATCGATATTCCCATTGATGGACAGTCCGTTATTGTTGCCACTCACTATAGAGATCTTAAGCGCTTTAAAAAACAGGGTTTTTCATTATCTGGCAACCTCCGTTCCTTGATATGGTCATTAATTTGTTTCCTGCGTCGTTGCTCAGAAATTGTCTCAATTTTCGTACCCTGGGGTGTTCTGCAATTCTTTCGTACGTGGCCTTCAGCTCCACAGTTCCAGCACTTTGGTTTCTTGTCAGTCCTTTTCCTTCCCGTGGCATTTAATTGTCTGTTTAAATCGTATGCCTTATTTTCCGTGCTCTGGGGAGTTCTGCAGTTCCTTCGTAGGTGGCCTTCAACACCGCAATTCCAGCACTTTAGGGTCGGTTTTGTTTCGTTTCACCACTATTCCGTCTTAAAGCATTCACTGGTCTTGTCAACTCATCCGTTTTATTATCCGTGCCCTGGGGTGTTCTGCAATGCCGTCGTAGGTGACCTTCAGAACCACATCTCCAACATCTTACAGCCACTTTGTTCTCACTGCTACTTCCGTATCAAAGCGTTCGACTTGTCTGGATAAATCATCTAAACGAGCCATCAATTGGTCCCCTGGGTCGTGGACTCGCACAGCTCTGACTGGATGGCGGTCTCGACGGGTGGCTTGCTGGGCTGCCTCAAATTTCATGGCATACACTAAAGCGCTTTTCAGATCTTTAACATCCGCCATTCGCAGTGCTTTCTGTATTTCAGGGTCCCGGATGCCATCGATGAAATATTGCAGGGACAGGATTTCCCTTGTTTCTGTCGGGCACTCCGAAAAGGCGTGATGTGACAGCCTTTCAACATCCGTGGGCGAGCTCCTGAAGCGTTTCGGTGAGCTTCTGTTGACGAGATTTTAATTGGAGCCTGCTGTAGTCTTTTAAACATTTCTCGCCGAAGCGCAGCTCCAAAGCGCCGGATAGAGCTTCGAAATCTAGCCTTTGATTTTCGGGAAGCGTCTGCAGGATATCCGCTGCGTCTGCTCTCAGAGAAGCGGCGAGATGACAGGCCTTAGCTTGGGAATCCCATCCATTCGCATCCGCAACGATAGAAAATTGTGTCCTATACACCTGCCAGGAGGTCTTCCCATCATATGTAGATAGTTTCAGAACGGAACGAGCAGGCATCGATAAAAATTTGAAAACCTTCAGAATTGTTTCCTACCGTCCTACCGTCGCTATGCACTTTCTTTACGGCAGCAGAAACCCTATTTCAATTTTGTTGTTCGACGGCAGAAACTCTCTCTTCTATATGTTCTTTTACAGAAGAAATTCTTTCTTCTACTTGTTCTTTTACCGAAGAAACTCTTTCTTCTATTTGTCCAACTTTAGTTTCAACCGCGTCTATTCTGCCTTCCATAGCCTCAAATTTATTTTCTATTACGCAGGTAATTTCTCTCTTTCATTTCGTCCTGACCTGCTTTCATCTCATTTTTAGAGATTTCATCTCTTCCTTAACGGATTCCTGGCCCAATTTCATTTCTTCCTTAACGGATTCCTGGCCCAATTTCATTTCTTCCTTTAAATGAT